CGACGGCGTAGAGGTCGACCTTCGGGAGGGCGTCGCGGGTGGTGCGGAGGGGGGCGCTCTGGGTGAGGCTCCGCACCGTCTCCGGGGCGGCGTAGCGCAGCGTCCCGCACGGCGTCGCGAGGAGGGGGCTGTCGCTGGCGTCAAAACCCTCCCCAGGGCGGCGAGGGAGCCCCACAAAGGGGTGGAGAAAGCCCGGCCGGGGGGCGCCCCCGCCTCCTCCCCCGAAGGCCCGCGCGAGGCCGAAGTCGACGACGGTGACGTGCAGCCCCTCCGCCGCCGCCTCGCCCTCCACCGGGGAGATGAGGACGTTCTCCGGTTTGATATCCCGGTGGACGACGCGGAGGGTGGTGTGGAGGTAGTCCAGAGCGACGAGGAGCTGCCGGATCACGGAGCGGACCATCGCCTCGGTGAACTCGGTTTCCTTCAAGGCCTGGAAGAGCTCCATCCCGTGCGGACAGTTCATCACAATCGCCACGTGGTGAGGCGTCTGGAAGTAGTCCAGCAGCCTCGCGCAGTTGGGGTGGTCCACGCGACGGAGAATATCTACCTCGTTGATGATATCGCGGAGCATCTTTTCGGTGGTCAGCTCCTTCTTTTTGATCAGTTTGATCGCCACCTCCTGTCCTCGGTGTATGCGCTCGCTATCGAACTGACAAATCGCCTTGTACACTGTTGCAAAAGTGCCATGGCCTAGAAAATCTTGGATGTCGTCGCAGAGGTAGTACGACTCCATGTCAGAGCGCTCTGGAAAGGGTAGCAAGGACATGGAAACTAAATAATCGAATTTAGCGATTATTCTACTATTATAATATGCAAAATGTGCCAAAAAAAATAAAAAAATACTTGAAAAAATATAGATCAAGCTTAGCCGTAGAGAGGAAAGAATTTTTTCATGTTTTGTTGTACAATCAAGCAATTGCATTAGAGGGTTGATTTAGAGATAGCCATGGCGGGATAGAAGATCTGTTTTCTCAGAAACACACGACATCAAAGTGTGTCACAAAGGAGCGTTTTTATCCCTTTAAACAAAAGTTATATGATACATCACACTATCAACAGTGCCCGACTTCTGTAGAAGGGGGCACATAACTCCACACGCCTGAAGGGAAAACATGAATGAAAAGGTCGTATTTTACAAATTCCGCTGAAAAGGTGCGGTACGTATTTATCAGTTGATCTCATATCAGTCTGAATCCAAAAGAATGGATAAGGAAATCGTCACGTAACGGATTTCCATAAAAGAACAGACATAGGCCCCCATGTCATGTAAATGTATCCTTTCACCTCATGTGTAACATAAGATCCAAAGTTTTTGCCAACGATACAGTGCCAAACACCCTTGTATTTTTTGGTAAATTCGCGTTTGATATGTGTTGCTACAGCATTCTCTACGGAGTAGGTTTCAAAGGCCTCTATAAGAAGCGCACGGGCGTCGCTGATCATATTCTTCGGCATATCAGCATTGTAGTTGATATCAGAGGATTTATTCATGCTTTTTTTAGGCGATAAGGAACAGGATGAGCCAAAGGGTATTTTTTTGCTTGTGTGCAGTATGCTTTAACGGACACACCTTGACTTGTGTAGTGTGTTAAAGCCTCAATTCGGTATAGATATTTCCCTTAAACTGGTTACACTAAAGACAATACCTAGTCTTTGAAAATAGGATATGCGAAATGGGACGAAGATTAGATTTTTCCATATAAAAAATGAACTAACCAACAATTATCCCATTGATAAGTATGGTAGACAAAATCGTCTGACCAATATTCTCCTCAAGAGATCATTTTGGACAACGCAAACTAAACAGTAATTCGAAATCTATCTGATAGCGCGCACATGGACGCAAGAAAGCATTCCCTTAATATAATGATAACATTAGTTCCATATATAAGATCTGGTTTTGTAGAATAGATCTCGTTTTGTAATAAAGCAGCGCCGAATCTCTTCCACCCGTTAGTTCGGCCAAAGCTCATAAGTGGCACCCGATCAATTGAGATTACGGCTTCACGTTCACGCAATAACTAACGTTTTTTGGAGATAAAATTCCGCGGAAAGACGTGTCACTGTGGTAGCAAATCCCTATACCTAGGCTTACCTTCTCTGGAGCTCCGCGAACACGCGTCAATCATCTTCAATTTATGAGTTTTGACACTTTTATCACGTCCAAACAACAGAGCAGTTCAAAAAGATATCATTTTCAAGGGGCTTAGAAGATAGACCTCGTGAAAAGCAAAATATTTAACCTGGAAGCAAAAAGCGTGAATGCCCAGTTCATGTTCTTATTCAAGCTAAAAACTAATTGTATGCCGCCCGGATTGAGTAGCTTTTCCATCACAAAATGTTATGAGTACTGGGTATAAGTTATCGGTTGTACTGTAGATTAAATGTACCCTGTATGTTCGAAAGTAAAACGAAAAAGGGGGAAAGGTGCATAGAATGATAACAGAATGCTAGAAGGCAATCAAAATGTATACATATACATTTAAAGAAGACCAAGGAAGAAGAATGGCATGTATATTATATATATATGTGCCAAGAAGAGAATCTAATGGGAAACGAGAAGGGTCCCGTTCTAGGTTGAGAAGCAATGTAGTAAAGCAACGATGGGGCACAATTCCCAGGTGAAAATATCGATCTAGTATAAAAAAATTTTGGAGTATTGAACATTTCTGTATATATATATATATATATATATATA